CACGTGCCGTTGTCAAGCTTCGGCTGGTTGATTTCTCGCAGCATTATAACCGGCACACCGATTTTCAATCACAGTAACCGCGCCATCGTCCCTGGCAGATTAAGCGAATTCAAAATTTCTGTGACAATTAACTACCTCGCCTGGTTCCACAACAGTGTCGACGGACGTGCATGGGAACTGCCCCGCTTTGTACCTTAGACTGAATAGTATGGTTAAGTAGGTAGACTTCTTGGTTCTTGGCCGCAAGAATAGCTCGTTCGCTCAGGCAATCATGATTCGTATAATTGGTTTGAATATTGTAACAATCCTTTTCAACCAAGTCTTCTTCTGACGACACTAAGTTTCCGAAGGTAGGAGATAGTGAAATGCGTCCTTAATTCGGATCAACCGGCACCGATCCGTTCCCAATTGGTGTGAGAATATTTCAGCTGTTCAGTAGTTTTGCAGCTGGACACGCATATCCGTAGTTAATTTTAACGTCTGGAGGTGGCGCCACAACGTAGAGTATTTCAGGCAGGCATTTATTTCGTCGGTTGGTGTCGATCGTGGAACTACAGGCAGTGTTTGTCCGAGTCTCCTGCAAACAGTAGCAATGCGTCTCCAAATGGTCTGCTGTTTCCATGCAAATCTTGCAATGATCGGTCAAGGACCTCCAGCATTTTTGTGTGCCATTGTGCATTCATCCCAAACAATAAGTTAGCATTTCTGCAGTAGTTTTCCCATGCCGGATGTCTCGGAAATGTCGCACGTGGAGTTCCAATGAATTGCACGTTCAACGTCAATTGTAAAGCTGAATGAGCAGTTCTTCCACCGGGTAGCAAGTTCGCAGCTATTCCGGATGACAGAAGAGCTAAGGCTATGTCAGTTTTGGACCGAAGTGCTGCCAGAATCAGTAGTAGGAACGTTTTTGACAGTCCCTTTTTTGGCGCATCCAAAAAGATTTCTCCAACCCCGCTATTGGTAGTCCGCATTATTTGATCGTAAATACCATCCTGCTCCAGTGTTAGCTTAAGAATGCCTGATTGCAGATACGACAGAAGATCAACCCTGTGATAGGTTTGCTCACGCCGCAAATCCACGTCTAACGAAGTATCAGCAGGTCGCTTTTGGTGATGGCTTTCCCATTTGATTGAGAAATTTGTTCGTGAATTCTACGTATACATCCTCAATCATTATTAACACCTCGTTGTAGATTTTCTACTGTGAAATCATCATTTGATTTGTCCTTGTGTATTCGACGGTAGATGCCTTCTACTCACATCCCCTGTGTAATACTTAGGCACTTCCGAATGCAGCAGTGTTTTTGCAAACGCGTCATTTTGGCTTAGCGTGAAGAACGCAGTTAATGTTGTGGCTGGTGGATCTAAGGCCACCTGTTGCACATTTGCAGCTGTAAAGTAAACGCACTGCTCATTCTCTAACTGTACTGCGTGATTTCATCCAGTTGTATGTCCACATCCCTCACCCTCCCTTCGTGTTGCAGACCGAAAACGGCCATGTCGCTGCCTATATTCACGTACTTACAAATTTACCTAATTCATTTCCCGGAATTGCGGTTTTCCACGTTTATGTGAGCTTCGTTTGCTTTTAAAAGCAAAGGCGAATACGAAACAACCCAGCGGTTACCGACTTGTACGTCACCGATTCGCATTTGTACGGTTGTCAATTTGCCGAAGTCTTTCCCTGATCGTTTTCATCGCCGCGACTGCGTGCAAATCATTGTCGACGTCGGCGTCAGATAATTCAGCGCATATTTCATCGGCGATTTCGTTGGAAGTGATCTTGTTGTAGAGCCAGATCCAGGCATGTGCGTGGGGCAGTGCCCATCTTTTGCCATTCCCCATAATACATCCAGCAGCTCACAGACCCAAACACCTCGTGCTTCACCATGAAGTTCATCAGCGATTTCAGTTTCTTCTTAAAAACACGTGCTGTGATGTTATACCTATTCACCGGCGATAGCCCAGGAAGTAAGAGCTGATAAATATCCCCCCAAACTGGATTGCATATGAATGTAATGAGTAGGTCTGGACGGCCGTACTGACAAACATAAGCAATTGCACCTCGAGCGTACCCGAGCATATGGCGTGGACTGTCTGTGTATGTTGAGGACAAAATCAGTAGCCCTACAACGTTAGTTGTATTACTATCATTTACAACTGCATCATGCAAAGGAATATATTCTTTAGAGCGCAGCTCGGTCTGATTCAAGCGAATGAAAAGCAGGCGTCCTGTTTCGATTTTTGCACACGTATCCACAAAGCAGTGCGGAAGCAATTGGCAGCATTTAAAAGAGGATTACTTTCATTCTGTCAAATCATAAGTCGGCAGGAGTAGTAGTTCATTGCGCTGCATTTCATGTGCGTTTCCTCGTCACTGACTGGATTTATCATCCTAACGTTGAGGTGATATCCATCGGCACCATCCCGAAAAGTAAATGGATACTGCGTTGAAATCGGTCTCCGACTGCCGGTATATGTTGGATGGCAAAATCGTTAGTCTTCCAACGGGTTTTGCCGTACCGTCGTTCACAACAGCATCACGCAAATGAATGTGTTCTCCGCAGCGTGAATGCTGAGCACGGAGTCGTGTTTGACGCTCGTCTGCTGTTCCTCGCTAGCGGCATTCGGTCACTCTGAGCTGGTATTGTTAATTCTGCTGTGAACTAAGCATACCTGAAGCTGCAGAACGCGGTCGCCGTGACCGCAACCGGGCTTCCGCAAGCCGAGCTGCACTACACTGAGCTGACACTGGGTGACAGGCCTATTATATGGGTTGTGCGGGGGGGTGGGGCTGATGTTAACTGCATCCAGTCCTCATCCTCGAGAATCCCCGAGTAAGCGGGGATAGCCCTATTATGTGGGCTGTGGGAGAATTTTAAGTGACGTCCTAGTGTTGCATGGTTTTTTGCCCCAGGGGTGGTTTGCTCTGGAGGCCCATATTACATCGGCCCAGAGGGGGGGAGAAGCTGTTTAATTATCTGCGGGGGGTGGTGTGAGCGCGGCCGTCGGGCGGAGCACGTGCATTTGAGTGAATGTCAGTCAAGTGGCCACAGTCTGGGCGCACATGTGTCCGCGCGGATGTAGGTCAAGTGGCCGCAGCAGGTGGTGTTGTTATGCCGGAAAAAATCCGGTTTTTTACCCATCACAGGCATACCATCGGCGCGGGGCGGGTTGCGTCCAAATTTCAACGCAATCGGTGCAGTACCTTCGGAGATTAGATATAACACAGAAAAAAACCCTTCCATTTTTATATCTATAGATTTTTAATTTATACTTCTGGGTACTATGAAAGACCACTGAGGTTCCTACTTTTACATATTGATATTTTATACATAACTATACGTTTTTTCTAACTAAACCGTCGGTACGCAAATAACATAAGCATATTTTAGGTAGTCCTGCTTTCAAGCACACTGTGGCGTGGATTTGGTGTTGTCTTTTGTTCAGGTTCAAGGACGAGCAGAGGACGCAGATAATCATCCAAGTCCCACGTGAAAGGCTGCAGCAACATCATATCCAAAACTGGTTCGTCCGTTCTGTCATTCGTCGTGCGCAGTATTCAGACCGTTAGACCGATACGCGACACAAAACCTGAGAAGGGCGCAAACACCCATTATTAGAATTTTCGACCAAACTTTAGTCTCGGAATGGCGTTCACAATCGACCACCTGTTTACCTGTGTTTCGGATAAGATTTCTTCAGGGACGTTTCGTAGAGGAGGCTCTGTGCTTCCTGATTACTGAGTAGCCACTACTCGTTAGCAATCTAAACCAGATTTTACTCGACTGAAAACTTGGCGGATAGAACGAGTGGTCAGTCCCTTCAGTCTATTAGGATATTGGCAACATAGTAAGTTTTACTGTAGCAAACACTATTTTTCATATGTATATGACCAATCAAGTAGTTTTAAAGAGTTTTATGACCGTAAGTCGAAACTTTGGACGTTTTTCAGAGGTCTGGTGCAAGGATTGCTAGAGAGTTCGAAAAGTGATCGTGACTAGTCAGCTGACTTGCTGTCAACACTTTCCCTTCTAGTTTGTAGTCCAACCACTTCGGCCACAAATTTCATCCAGCCCCATCTGACCGGTCTTCGCATTCAGGCGGGAGATGGGAGATATTAGGCCTATTTGTTTTGCTTACTTCAGTGATGAAGTGAGGTGGTGGGTACCCTCCCTAGTAGCAAGAGTATATCGCCTCGATAGCGGGTAGATAGCGTTTTTTCGATATACGTATATCGAGTGGATAGCGTTTTTGTCCGGCGGTTGTATATCGAGTAGATATCGAATTTTCGATATACTCGAAAAACGACCGTAGCAGCACGTATAGCAATTTACACGACCCCTTTTCCCACGAAATACCTCCGTTTTGTACTAAATCGACCTATATTGTTTATGTCTGCCCTCTCCCTCCTCATAAACCATCTATCGCAGTCTTAGTCGTGATGACAAACGTATAAAATAGCGCAAAGTACCCACAACACATCGAAGCCGTATGAATTGGTAGGTATATATTAGAAAAACAATAAAATAAATATGTACATTAATTTTTGTAGTCNAGATGCGAGTAAGCCATATAAATGGTTTATGCATATATCCCTAGTAGCAAGAGTATATCGCCTCGATAGCGGGTAGATAGCGTTTTTTCGATATACGTATATCGAGTGGATAGCGTTTTTGTCCGGCGGTTGTATATCGAGTAGATATCGAATTTTCGATATACTCGAAAAACGACCGTAGCAGCACGTATAGCAATTTACACGACCCCTTTTCCTACGAAATACCTCCGTTTTATACTAAATCGACCTATATTGTTTATGTCTGCCCTCTCCCTCCTCATAAACCATCTATCGCAGTCTTAGTCGTGATGACAAACGTATAAAATAGCGCAAAGTACCCACAACACATCGAAGCCATATGAATTGGTAGGTATATATTAGAAAAACAATAAAATAAATGTGCACATTAATTTTTGTAGTCTCAATTGTCCATTTGGCGTTATTCATTGTTGAATTGGTCGAGCTCCCTGTTGAAGATCCCGGTGTTGGATCTACATTAAAGAGTCGTGTTTAATTGGTAATGGAAGAACACTTACCGTCGGCTTGGGTGTTGCTACTAATCCTTTGCCTTTTTTGACAGTTTCCAGTGACCGTTTAAGCCGCTTTTTAATGGACAACTCCAGATCGGCAAGGGCGGCTTTACCGTCGTCATTCCAAATCCCTAAGACCTCTGTGGATAGAGCAGTGATCAATAATTATTGAGAACGTACCCTTGATGAGTTCGTTCGTCGCCGAATCGGGTAGTCCACTCATACAACAGAGCAATTGCGTAAAGTGGCTTGTGAGACATTTACAAACAACCGTATTTTCCGTACAGTTTCTTCAATTTCTCTAAATATTTCGTCACCATATCGCTTAATTGGACGTCTTCATGCTCTCTTGGACTCTTCCTTAAACATAATGACAATAAGATGTAGCAAATAAGCAGATAGATGACAATGATAACAAAGAACAAAGAGGATGCAACACACTCACCCGCACCACGCTGTCCTCATGAGATAATGGCGTGGAGGCGTAAGCGCGCGATTTGGCAACGCGCTCAACGTACGCCAGCCAATGACAGACAAGAATACATAGGTGGGGAAACCAATGAAATCAGGAGGAGTGGTATATCGAAAAAACGCCATTGGAGTATATCGACTCGATATACCCTTGCTACTAGGGCTGTTAGCACCAGCCCCGTCAGGCCGGTGGCCCGTTGCCGGTGGAACCAACCGAGGGATCGTCCATAAGAGGGGAAGTGTGAGAGAGTTACGGTTATAGCGGCTGATAAACAATGTCGGAATCGGACCCGGATAAACGCCGAGCGTTACGCAGATTTTTGAGCCGAAACAGTTGAACTGCCTGTTTCCACACTCTGCGTCTACTTTTGATAGGATGTCTTCATGAAGCGTCAAGCCAACATCCAATCTCAAGCAGATGTTCGATAATAGTGCATGTAGCGGTCATGCTACCCTCTTTTGTTATGCAAGCGGGTGGTTATTCTTTAGTTTTCTTGTACTGTCGGCCGTCTAACCGGTGCATCCCATAAAGATATTATTAAAAACTTTTCCGTCCTGTTCCCTTGCAGGAATCTCCGTTAAGTTGCCAATAATATTTCCAGTTTAGCTGAAATTGTACTCAAAAATATACATTTGTAATGTCATTAGGGTATTCCTATCCGCGTCATCGTCGCAGTTAGCTTCTTTTGAGCAGTCAGTCTATAGTCTATGTCAGGCAAACATGTGCGAATGGAAGTGGTATGTTTAGGGAAAAGATTGGTTTCCGCTCTAAACTGAAGCATCCTATAGAGTTAGGGAGCCGAAATGTGAAAGGCCTGTACTTTTATAGGCAAACACTACACGCAGGACTACAGCGAGTCCTCTAAGCCCAAGATTAGTCTGTTTTGGGAATACGTTTTTAATTTTTCGGTGACCTACTAATAGAATCGAAGTGATGAGTTCCAGGAAGTAGTCGCGGAGGATGCACGATCGCTAACCAGTGTAGTCAGTATATCTTTTTTCCTAACAGACCTCAGCTGTTGAGGCTTCCTGGGTCCCCTAGCTTTTCTAAGGAAGCCATTGGTTTCCTGTTGGCCTTTCCTCAACTTTGCCGCTGCCTACTGTACGGCCTCGAATTTTGCGATAAACACGTCTTAGTTGCTGCTTCAGCCACTGGTCAACCTGAACTCCAGATGGCTCAGCTCTTTTCTGTTTGGTGTCGTCTGGCCGGAAAGTGTCAGGGGCAAGAATTTGAACGGCACCTTGAGCTTTATGCTTTGAGTTGTGCAATCTTAGAATAAATAATAGTATTTTGATTAGAAATTTATTAAACAACAGTTTTCATAGTACCTGTATTTACCTCTATTGGTGATTGCTCAAAATGATCTTGTTTAATACTCCAAATCAATATTCTCTAACCGTTTTAAAAAGCTTATTTGGCATATATGTGGAAACTCACCTTTTCGTTACCATTTAAATAGTTAGTTGGAAGTAATTGTTGACAAAGCTTTTGTTCGAGTTCTTAGCTTGTGACTTAGGCGCTTTGTAATTAATTTTCCTCATTTCACATCAAAGTGGTCGCCGTTACGATTTTACCCTGTTTGCATGAACGTTTAACACTCTTATGGATATAGTCTACAGCAACCTTCAGGAGATCGATCTCCTGCAGAAGTTTGTTGCCAAACTAAAGTTATTTGTTACCGGTCCTGACCGCCATGGACCTTTTGCTTTTCTTAGGTCGTCGAGCATTGCCATTTGGCAATTTTGCGGGATGCAATTGTCAATGCCAACATAAGCCCCTGGCCAAATTCCATCTTACCTACTACTTTTCTATTTTTCGTTTTAGTCCTAGTACGTCAATTGTAAGATGAATAAAGCCCTGTTATAGGGTATTCTTGTTCTGACTATTGCATCCGTATTTGTTCGTCCTCTCCATCTCGTGTGCTTGCTACGGTCCTAGCTACAGCGGTTTAGTCGTCTTACAATTCCAAAATGGATCGATTCCTTAGGCCAGAACGATTCGATGCTGATCCAAATGCTCAAGACGCTTCTAAACAGTGGAGTCATTAGTTTCGCACTTTTGAAATTTTCTTGTACACGATCGACAACCTGAAACCGGATAAATTAAGCGTTCTGATTAACTACGTCTCTCCGACAATCTGAGAATGCAGTACTGAGTGCTCCAGTTATAAAGAAGCTGTTAAATTGCTGCAAGGTCTCTACCTAAGACCCAAACACGAAATTTTCGCCCGCCATCTTCTGGCAACCTACAGACAGGAAGGCGGACAAATCCTCGACCAGTTTGCTCAAAAGCTAAAATCCTTAGCTAAGGACTGTGCCTTCAAAGCCGTTACGGCAGAATAACATCGCGACGATGCCATTAGAGACGCGTTTATTAGTGGCCATTCATCAAAGCAGATTCGGCAGTGGTTATTGGAGCAGAAGACGTTGAACTTCCAAATTGCCTTTGATCGGGCAAGTTCACTGGAATTGGCAGAAAGACAGTCTCTTTCGTATCAAAACCCTCCTACGACCTCATTCTTTGCCTCTACCGAGCCATGTGAAGCTTCGCCGAGTCCCGTTAAAGAGCCTGATCTAGTGGCTTCTACTTCGTTCCATAGCAAATGTTTCTTTTGTGGATACGACAAGCATCGTCGTTCTATGTGTCCCGCATGCGATGCGTTATGCAAAGGATGTGGTAAAAAAGGACATTTTCAAAAGGTGTGCCTAGCATCATGAAACCGGAAAGCCTTCTCTTCTGCCATGTATTCCTCCATTTCCGCCGTGGCATCAGCTGCTGTTCCCGACTGTCTTTCAAGAGCAGTGGTTGAATTACAAATAAATGGGACTAATTTACAGGCCCTAATTGACACAGGTAGTTCTGAAAGTTACATTTGTTCCTCAGTGGTGCTCCGAAATCAATGGAAGGTTCATAACTCTCGCACAAAGATATCCATGGCTACCACAGCCTTAACCAGCTCCACACAAGGACATATTCTTGTCACTATTAAATATAAAGATACAATATACAAGAAGGTCAAGCTATCGGTCCTGCCGAATTTGTGCGCCGATGTTCTACTTGGACATTACTTTCCGCGACTCCACAAAAGCGTCGAAATCCCTTTTGGTGGACCTAAGCCTACGTTCTCGCCTTGTTCTGTGGCTGCCGCTTGCATCGAGCCTCCCCGTTTGTTTCCTAATCTGACACCGGACTGCAAACCCATCGCTACTAAATCTCGTAGACACACCAATATGGATGAGAGATTTATACGAGAAGAAATTTGTTGCCTTCTTTCTGAGGGTGTAATTGAGCATTCATTATCCCCCTGGCGAGCCCAAGTTTTGGTGGTAGCCAATGAAAACCACAAAAAGCGGATGGTTGTCGATAATAGCCAAACGATCAATAGATACACACATCTAGATGC